AATAATTTATATAATTGTTCATATATACATTTATAAATTACTTTATATAAAAATAAATATACATAAGAAATAAAACAATATGAAATACCATTTATTGTACCTTCATGCAACAGATCTTCTCTTATTGGATTTGTAATTAAAAATTGATCTGTCAAGAATTGTAGCACCTTGATTCTATCTTCAACAGAAGTAAAAGGATATTCACATGTTGTTAAAATGTGTAAAATATTTTGATCAAATGATTTGTCACTTTCCACGTAAGAGCGTAACACTTCTGACCAAGTCATAGAATCCACAAAGTATAAGCTAACATTCACAGAATCTTTTTGGTCAAGAGGACCAAAGTGTGTTTGCTGAGAATCTTCTTCTCTAAGAAGTGCTTTAATAAGCATAATATGCATTTCAGCCAATAGATTGGTTTGATCTTCACACATAAGTGCAGCACAGAAATCTTCAAACCTAAAGGCTGAAAGACGTACTAATGTACGAAAGTGTCTCAAGACTTCATAGATAGATAAACATGGCATAACAAGTTCTCTAGGGACTAATAGGTCATCTGAAGATTTAGGTAAATTTAATAGTGGCAGTTCCCTATTCTGAAGCCATAATGGCTCTGGACTTGGTGGCCTTTGCTGACTAAGTAATGTCTTACGGGGTGTGCCACTAGTAGTACTATAACTGGAGAGAGAAAAGTCACTGTCACTGGAGGGATCAGGTTCTTCTATACTTTCAGATGAGTCTACATCGCTTTGCAGAAGGTCTTCTTCAACTTCACTTTTTTCACTGGACTCATCTCCAAAATCCGACCCATAATGATATTCAGAATCATGATAATCAACATTTGGATTGTAACCTCGGCGTTGATATGCACCAGAACTTGAATGACCACCTTTGCGCGAATGTCTGTCTCTGGGTCCTCGAGATTTTCGAGTTCGTGTGCTACGTCTGCTTTCTTCGCTTTCGACTGGCGATGACGGTCTCGAGGGTGTTGGTGTACTCGGCTGTGAATTTGGAGTTTCCGAACCCTTGTTTTGCAAGTATTTTGGCTTCTTCATAAGATGATACTGAAACTTTTTGGGTCTTTCCATGACCACCGATTTCGGAGGTCGACCCCGTCTCTTGGACCCTCTCCCCGTCATTGTCTGTCACGCACTGTCAACGAAATGGCACTTACTTAACACGTGGTTTGTAAAAACGCGCGCTTGTAAACAAATACAAATGACACCGTAGCAATGAAATGGAACCCATGTTTGTACTCTGATCTTTGCGCCATTTTTCGGCTACGGTCACGTGACCAAACACAATTCTTTCATGATGAACGTTTCGATACGATCTTGCGTGGCTTCTACCTTTCTGTCGACAAACGACAAACACTTTCCAATAGTGATAAGAACTTGTATTACTACCAGTAACAACCAAAATAAGTACAGAATCATTCACTGACGCGAATGTAAGGGGAATTTACAATATCTGATCTTCTAAGAGAGCGCTGCTGCAATTGGTTCATCGAATCGCCGCCATGTCTGGCCTCGAACGCATCTACTCGAAAAGTAGACAAAATCTCTGATGAAATTTTCGTTTCTCCTATCTATAACAATCTATAACTCGACACATCCCCCTCAACTGAGTTTCAATAAGATTCATGTAATGTAAAAACGAGTCGATTACTTTTTAATTTCTCACGAAACGTACAGAAGATCCAATCGCTTTCACCGTAACTACACAAGAGCCTGTCAGATCAACAATAGGTGGCGACATGCGCGGTTGGAAGAACGCGATTCTAACCGCACTTCCGATAAATATGTTTTTTCTTTTTCTTTATTTACTTCCTGTATTTTCACAATTATTCTTATTTCAATTCACTACACTTTTTATGTTAAACAAATTATGCAATTAATCATGCATGTACAATCAAACGAATTCGCTGTTACCCGCAAGAGGGAAATCTAACCTTAGTTATAAAGAAGCTTCGACAGAGGACACCACTGTAATTCCAATTTGTATGTCGTTTGGTCGGTATACATTTTTTTAGCTTGTAGTAGCGTACTAATTAAAAATTAATGTTCTTAATATCAAAGAAAATTTTTTTTGCATGTTTATTATACAATTTAATTAGCAATAAATTTCAATTAATTTAAAAGAAATTAGCGATGAACGCGACATCTTCCTAATTGAAACTAAGAGTCTATCAAATTTAAACACATCTTGCACAATTTTGTTTCAATATATGTTGTAATTTTAACAATATTTATTGTTACATAGTTAAAAAAAAATAAATAAATTCCATTAAACTGAAAATTTTACATAAATTGTATTTTCTAATGTGTTTAATAATTTGAAAAATATAGAAGTTGCCAATCAAAGAAATATAGTGATATTACGATTAATTCAATGTTTGTTAAACATTTTGTTAAATAATAAAATAAAAATTTAAAATTTATAAGAATAAATGAAATTTATTAACAATAAATTATGAAATTAGTTTTGTCTATATTATAATAATGTATTCTCGAAATTCTTTCCTAAATGAACAAGAAAATAATTCTTAATTAATCTTTTTGTTGGTAACAAACAAAAAAATAAAACAATTTTTTAAAGTATAATACATAGAAAAGGATGTGAAATACAGTAGTACAAATAATGTAAGATTCTCATATGATGTAATTTTACCAAAAATTATGGCGCCATCTTTGAAACGGATGTCAGTGGTAGGAACGCATTAGCACTAGCATGAAATACAACGGAGACAGGGGGGATCGAATAAAAATGGCCGTCTACCGAAAATCGAGAAATACGAAAAACGAACGAGAGTGTAACGATCGAATGTGAATACGAATCGACGGTTTTTTTACGAATTAATCACGGAATAACGAACGAAATACGTAACGAAATGACGATGTATACGTTAAAACCGATTGTTTCCCTGCCACAAACGTTGCATCATAGAAAAACGATGTACGAAATGCGAAATATTCATGAAGAACGATCAACAGACGACCATACGGAAGCCGAGAACAAGATCGTGCCTGATATCACTGAGCAGGTTATCAGCTTTTTAAAGGTTTTCATCATTTCTGTTATCCTGCCGACGTGAAAGAAAATATTGCTAGTTAACTAAAATGAATGGTTTACTCACGCGTTTATTGAGCATGGTAGCTATGAATGTTTCTTCTGTCTCGAGCTTGTTGTGCATGACTCCTCCCAAAATTTCCACAAGCACTAATCACGATCGACCGGGAATATGGTTCTACAGGCTTGATCGATGCTTGCCCCTCCAATTTTTCATCTAACAGGACACTACGCGGTTACGGTACATGAAAAATTCAGTTTGTTCGAAGGATAAGCGGGAACGCGCTGATAATTAGTATAGAAGGGCAAGCTTACTAAATTAGAACTGCACTGAAAGCTACAAAGTACAGTTGTATAACCAAACACATGTAAAACCTAACCCAGTAAAAAGATGTATGTACCTTGTAGCTGTTTACTGACATTAATCAACAATGTTACTGGTGAACTATGAAATCTATGATCCATAACCCTGTGTTTTTAGACATTTTTTTTCTAAGATGTAATTAGTAAATATGTCCATTTTGTGTTAAATGTTACTAACATTTTCTAACTTGAAACAAAGTTTACAATATATTTGATGAAAAACTATATTGCCATAGCATTATATTAAATTGAGAAGTGGAGATAGTAATCGATTAGTAATTATATGGTGTATTTGATGATAATCTTTTACATGAAGGCATATATTTTTGTGGTAATGTTTGAGAAATATAAAAATTGTATTTTACTTATAAAATTTAAGATATAATTTATAAATTTTACATAGAAATATCAAATAATGCTAGTTTTATTTTAGAATTATATAGTTAATTTACTCCTTTTACTTAGATTTATATTTGAATAAACATTAACTTTTTATATAGATGTTATTATGATGTACTTTAAAGAAACTTTTTATTTCAGAGTCCTTTACCAGAGTATAATGCATTAGAAACAAGACAGGAAAAAATATTGGTACAACTTGCAGGACTTAAGAAACAGGTTTCAACACTTTCTGAGTTTTTAAAGCAAACAAATCAAACTATAGAACTCGATAAAAGTTCAAAGAGTCAGGTAATATTAACGTAAAATAAAATTTTTTATCTTTCAAGTGAAAAGTACAAATAAAAATTTAGTTTATTACTATTCTCTTTTACAGGAACTAGTTAATGTGAAGCTTATCATTAATGTGAATCCAAAAAGACCACCTTATTTTATATCTGCATTACAAAAAATGTGGAAGGATACTGATATCAAAGTACAAACTTATGTTCATTCAAGTGTTAGTAAAGGAGGATCTGTTAATTACCTATCAACTACAACTTCTTCTAAGAATAATATTATTGATCTATTTCTGATTTGGAAAAATGGTAAAAAATGTAATTACAGAAATATTTAATTAGTAAAATATGTACATTTATAAAAGATTTTATTTCCAGTTGAAGATATGGAACTTATATCAGGTCTACATAGTTATTATATAACTGGGGAAACAAATTTTCTAAGATATTTAAGTAGGTTAATAAATACTCATAATTATGAAAATTCTGTTTGTGTAGAAAAAGTAAATTCTATTGATTTAGTATTAGATTTATGTCATTCTCTATATTTTGAAGAATCATTAAAGAAAAAGCAAGAAATATTGTTATTAATAGCTGATAAGTTAAATGTAAATTGGTCAGATACAAAGGAGCTTGATATAGCAGATATTGCTGCATGGTGTACAATTAAACAACTTTTTCCAAAGAAGTATCCATCAAAACTTAATAAATGGTTTGAAGCATGTGAAAAACATTTTGTATAAATAAAAATTTCTTATTAAAACATTTATTATTTATTTATATGAACACAGTTTCAATTGTTTTAAAAATATTCCAAAACTTAGTGAATATAATTGACCAAAATTATAAGGAAGTATTGCCAATAAAATTATATAAATTTTATTAAAATATTAACGTGTACTTGGAATATCTTGTACAAGTAACGTATAATAATTTAAAATATGGTTTGCTTAAATCTCTTACTAATACATAAAAATGTGGGTAAAAATAATTTTATGCTTGAATTAATGCTTATTGGCAGTGTTGTAAGAATAATCGTATTTTCACTTCTAGAAAAAAAAAATGTTTATGACACAGTGATGATAATAATTAATGTTTGATGCTAAGAAATAGAAAAATTTATGTTATTACACAGTAAGAACTAGAAAGCAAGTCTTCTAATATGAGAAAGGATGTGATATAATACTAAAAATGTCATTATTTTTTAAAGTAGATGTATATCAAATAACTTGCAATCTAGTTTATGCAATTTATTAACATTAATTCTATTATGGCTACATTTGATTGAAATCAACCACTAAATTAAAAGTTTAAGTATAATTTATCATTTTTCTTCAGCAATTACCTACAATCAGTAATTGTCATATTAAATTTATTAGAAATATAGCTGCCATTGTTTGAATTATTAAATTATTTTCATTAATTTGACATTATTTGTATTTCCAATAATGTTTCTAAATTTTAATATTACAGATTTTATTATCAAAGAATATTTTTAAAAATTTGTTTTATAATTTCTATGATTTTTTAACATTTTGTTTATCTTTTCTATAATTTTGCTTTATTGTAAAATAAGTATTAAGCAAAGAAAAACATTTCACGCATCGATATCAGTCTGAAATGTTTTCCACATTTAAAATAATATTTTTTGTTATGAAGGAATAATTACATAAAATAAATGCATTGTGGTAAAAAAATTACTGTCCTAAATTGAATAAGTCTGTCTATGATAATGTTTTACAATACTGTAAGTGTAATATTATATACTACAAATGAATTAATGATATTATGGTGAATTAAATAAGATTGCATATATCTTTTATATGCAAATGTTGATGCATTAAAGCCACGTCTTTTTTTTCTCCATTTTATGATTTAAAAAAGAGGATGGAGATAAATGATAGATATCTATTCGAAGAAGATAAATATATGTCGTTTAAAGATTATTCAGCATAAAATTTTATCTAATGTTGCCTAAGCTGTGCACTAAATGTACAAGTGTTGTATCAATATCTGCTATTCCGTAATTTATATAAATTGTATGTACATTATACATAATAATATTAAAAACAAAGTCTCTTAGAGATAGAAATGCACACAGTTGCATTTTACATAAACATTTGTATGTTTACTATTTAATCAGTACATAATAATATTATCAGACTCATATTTAGTCTATAAAAATTAATCCAAATTGATATGATAGGCCTGATTGTGAACTGTTTATACATGTAAATTGATATCTTATATTATACACCTTTCATTTATCGCACAAATGTCAATTAAAAACATTAAAAGAATTCATATCAATTATCATGTGAATAGTACATTCGTTGATTATTTTGTTATGTCATATGTTTTAAAGAATTACAATTTAGTTGATTTTACTATATTCATAGTAATATCAAAATATTTTGTTTTTGGAGTTTGTTGATTACGTGGTTGTTTCTGGCAGTTTTCGTTACGATATCGTTTTCATTGTTAATAATATTATTCTATTGCATTTTTAATACGTTATATTAACAGATTGTTTTAAACAATGTATCCTTACAATTAAAACATGCGCAAGCATTATTTATTCGAGATCCATGCAAGATTTTGTTTTAACTTCACTTAATAAAAGTAAAAAATATTCATTATACACATTTTGACTTTATCTAAAATTATAAATAATATGTATTTCAATATATCACAATATGATGGTGCCAGAAGCATATTGAAATTACTATACGAAACATTAGCGTGCGTGAAATACTTGTGAATTTGTATTTCAACGTAAGTCTTTAACTCTGTGTATTCAATTTCGGTGCTGAACTCTTAAAATACTTACTATCCTGTTTTACGAAAATGATTAAAATTTTAACCACCACTCTCTTTTTACATGTATTTAATAATTTTTTAAATTTCTCTTTCAAATTATTACTTTCTCCATTGCTTTAAAACCAATCGTTATTCAGCACGTATATACTTTAGTTTCATCGTAAATGTTATGCTAATTCGGCACCCTATCTACTTAACAAAAGCTTTAATTCTTTATTATAAACGAGTTATACGAATGACGAGAAACCAGGTAATGGTGCTCTCGATCTTGCCATATTGTTCATAATAATTTGACCCCCATTTAAACTGACAACAGCACTACCTTCAGGTTCAGAATCGGTGTATGATGAATAATTTCTAACTGGTTTTTGACGTTTCCAGGACTGTCTTAAAGAATCATTAACATTAGCGTAATGATTTACGAAGGAATGTGGATCCGATTGTACACTTTCATTCTCACTTTCAGATCCCTATAATATAAAGTGTAAAGACCACGATATTTTATGTTACATACATTTCATGTATTTAAGAAATGAAAATATTACCTGTGAATCTGTTGAACTAATTTCAGATGGTTTTTCTGTAACACTACTATCATCAGGATTTTCGTCATACCCTTTCAGACTTTCTTCATCACTATGATACGCAACTGAAGCTGGTGAAGGTCTAGGGGGTGATTTACCTAACATCGTAGGAGGAGGAGGATGTATAGATTTCCTTGCTAAAGTGTTTCTTTTACCTAATGTACCACAAGCATTAGCCATATTCATAGCACCACCACCTCCTTGTCTTGATCTATAAAGTTCTAAATCAGATTCCTGTCTATCGTCTGTATCCATTGCCATAGATTCTTCAAGTGTCTTTTGTGCTTCTTCTAAAACAATTATTTCATTATTATGAACTTATATGTTTTGTGTCAGAATATATTTATTAATACTTACGTTTATATTTATAGCTTTTACTTTTAACGCATAGCACCGCTATGACCATTATAATGATTATAATTGATGCAGCAGCTAAAGTAACCATAAACCAGGTTTGTCTATAAAACGGTTTATGTTGTAAATATGCATATTCAAGATAGAGCTTTGATGGAGTTAGAATCTGAAAAAATATATTGGTGTGTATTTAAGTGGTGTGTATTTAAATTTAGTATTTAAAAATATTTATGAAAATGTATATATAGCAATTACATTTACCGTTTCTGTGGAATATGCTGGATAACTAATTCCATAACGATTGTACGAGATTACTCTGAACAAATATGATGTGGATGGAAGTAGGTTTTGGTAAGATACAGAATACTCTGTTAATGGTCCATTACTACTGCGCACTATTGTCTGCCAACGGCTGTCATCTATAATTACAAATATAATAATAACATTTATTTGATTTTAATAATAAAAAGAAAAATGCAATCAAAAACTTCTGCAGGTTTTCTTGATATTATATGCTACAAGAAAGAATAATATATTTGATCGTTTTCTTATTTTCCAGAAAGTAATGACAATTGAAAACTTGCAAAGTTATATTGTATGCTCTATATTACATGTTTTAAGGGTATCAATGAAGTATTAAATGTAGGAATTGGAAAGTTAAAATTATAGGAATACCGTCATCTAACTTCAGCTATTCATTTATTACAGTAAAAATATAGCAGCATTCAAAGTTAAGATGTTTCATGAATTTCTAGTTGAATTTATGGAAATTCATGCTATGACATCATCATGCAATCAACAGTACAAATACCACTAAACAAATCAGATTAATTACAAACAAGAAGCCATGTTTTAACACTAATAAAAATCATATTTAACTGTTGAGATCATCTAACATAATCGACTTTCAATATATTTACGTGCATTGACACTTACAATGCTGCCACTCTTCCATTGCTATATGATTATAAAAAAGGTAATATTAGTAATGTAAATAATACTATTTGGAATTTTATATTTAGAATAGAAGTTTTTATCACTTTATTTTTCATTTGTATAAATATATTTTTTTTCATGTACTTTTTTCACGAATTCTGTAATACTTGTTTCAGTTTTTGGGGTATTCTATAAGTGCTAAAATATTTTGTATTATTTACCTTTTCGGCGTGTTTCAATATAGTATCCTAGAATAGGCCCTTTTCCAGAAGCTCCATTAGTCCATTGTAATTCAACACTAGATACTGTTTTCGTAACAGCAAGATTGCTAGGTGCCATTGGTGAACCTTCTTGTGGACCTGTTGTGACATTTCCGGATATAGGCGGACCAAAATCAATGGTTTGCGCTCGGACCATAAAAGTATATGTTTCTTCTTCTTCCAAAGGTTGGATTAACAAACTTGTTTCTGTCACTTTTTGTTTAACTTGTTTGCTAAAACCTGTTATAATGTAAAACATGGTGTATAAGCAACTGTTTATACATTAAATGTTTCGAATAATTTTTATATTATAAAGCATACGATCGTTTTGTTCTGCTGTTTCATATGTAACAATGTAGCCGACTATTTCACCATTTCGTAGCTTTGGTGCTTCCCAAGAAACACGAAGGCTAGTCATTGTAATTTCTGAAAATTGTAAATTGTATGGTGGTCCAGGTATATCCTGTAATAAATTGAATATATTTTTACAAAAAAAAATAGCGGTATCAATTTCAACGTAATTATCATTAAATTACCTGTTTAGTTCTAACAGTGATAGATGGAGTCCGAGGACCATCACCAGCAGGATTAAAAGCTAATACTTGAATACGGTATTCTGTATATTTATCTAAAAACACCAAGCTATGAGTTAAATATGATGCTGGTACAACTTCTATTTCTTCCTCTTGTTTATTTTCTAAATCTTGAGGAGAATCAGTAACTAAATAAAAAATCTAAAATAAAAGATATAAATAATTTTGTTTAAAAGTTTGATTAACATGATAAATTCTATATATAATAGTAATAACAGTTTTACTTTATAGCCTAATAAATCTCCATTTTGCATATTGGCTTGGGGTGGTTTCCAACGTAAATGTACTTCTGTAGAAGAAATTGGTTCTGCTTTTAGATGTTGTGGTTCTCCTGTAGGAACTGCTTCCCCTACATATACAGTTACTGGAGGACTTGATGGACCTTCTCCTTCAGAATTGAATGGTAACACTATTACTTCATAATACCTATCTTCTGTCAAATCACTTAAAACAATTTTCGTAGCCTATCAAATTAAAAAAAAATTAATATTTTTTATTTAAATTTGACGATCTATAATTATACATATTACTTTTATTCCTAAAACTTCTTCCTTCGGTGTATCTTGAAGGGCTATCGGAAAATCTGAAACTGGTTGATATATGACGCGATAACCACCAGTTTCATGATCCCCACTCCAATATACTTCATCTATTGCATTCCAATGAACTTCTATACTAGATGTTGTTATTGGAACAACTTTTAACCCAGTAACTCCTCGAGACGGTGCTACAAGTTTACATTACTATAAGTGCCACATATTAATCAAATAAATTTAATACAGATAAAAAGAAAATTGTATGTACCTGCTGGTAAAGTTTGGACTTGAACTGATTCTGTACTCCAAGTTGAAGGGCCTATGTCGTTAGTTGCTTGTATTCGAAATTGGTAGAATGTGAATGGTTTTAAATTATTTGCTGTATAAGACGTTAAAGTTGGTTCTACCCTTTCAAGAATTGTTTGAAATGGTCCTGAATTTTCTGATTGCTGTACTGTGTAATATCTACAAAAAACAGAATTTTAGATATAAGTACTATGTAATATAAAAGAATGATACATTAAATTTAAAGTATTTAATGAAAAATTTACCTTAATGGAGCAAATCCATCACGACCAGGTGTCCACGTAAATGTTATCTGTCTACTTTGTACTTGTGATCTGCTAATTTGTGGCATCGATGGAGCCTGTGGTCGTTCTCTGTTATTTGTAGTAAAAACAAGAGCATATGCTGTTTTTCCCCAACCTAATCTCGTTTGTGCTGTTACCGAGAACATGTAATATTTTTCTGGTTCTAATCCTGTTGCTCTGTAAGATACATTCATATTCAATAACATAAATTTGATATTAATTTTTAATATTTCTCTCAACTATATTGTTAATTATACCTAAAAGTTCTATCTGATGCAGGAAATTCCTTAGAAAATTGATGATCTTGACTATTATTTAAATGAAACATAACTTTATAGGCGAGAATCTCTCCGTTCGGATCTTCTGGAGTATCCCAAATGATACGAGCAGTAGTAAAGCTTACATCGGGAAATGATACATTCGACGGAGGTCCAGGAGCTACAAAAATGTTAATTTATTTAACTCTTTTTACGAAGGAATAGTTATAGTTATAACAATAAGAATTACCATCTTCAAATGTTTGTACTCTAACTGGTGGAGTACTTAAAGTACCATCGCCAAGTCTCGTATAAGCTAGAACTTGTATATGATATTGAACAAACTTTCGAAGTTCTGTTAAAGTTGTGGTAAATGTTGTATTACTAGGAATGTTTTTATATTGGAATGCTGATCTAGCATTTGCACCATAATAAACTTTAAACCCTTCTATTTGTCCATTCTGATGTTCCATAGGAACATCACCCCATCTAACTAATATGGTTGTGGAAGATGTTGCATTAGCTTCTACGTTAATAGGTCCCATCGAAGGAACTAAGGAAGAAAAATCGTGCATTAACAATATAGGAATATTTTTTAAGCTATACAAGCGTATTTTATACACCTCACCTGATTCACGAGTTCTTTCAACTGCTTTAGGACTTATTGTTGATGACCCAACGTCATTAAATGCTTGCATTACAATTTCATAAAGAGCATACTCTTCCATATTTTCTAAAATATAGGAATTCGCTGTATGATCTTCTATAGTTATGCTTTTCGATTTATTCGTTCGCACTTCGGTATAAGTAACATTATATCCCCTCGGATTTCCGTACCACTCAATCTGCTGTAATGGCTGTTAAAAAAAAATGAATAAAATAAAAAAAAAGTAAACAATTAGGTATTAATTTTTAAATATTATTAAACAACAAACTTATTGACTTATTAGACCAGGTATCAATTTCCGTGTATTATTGAAAAAGACACTTACAATCCATCTAACGCGCAATTCTGTAGCGCTCATTGCACGAACCGTAACGTTCCTAGGAGGATGTGACGGTGGTGCTTGAATCGTTTGAAACTCTTTCGTTGGTTCAGAAGGTTGAGAAGAACCGACAACGTTGTTAGCTATTAAACGTAGTTTATATTGCATAAATGGAATTAGGCCGCCTACAGTGATTGTACTAGCATCAGGATCCGAGACTTCGTATATATTATACCATGTTGTGTTACGAGTGGTTTGTGCTTGCACTGTCCATTTTATTATGGACGAATTTCCGTCAAATCCTGGTGTAAATTGAAGAACAACGGAGAATGCGTCTATATTAGACAATGCCAATTTAGTAGGTGGTTCAGGAAGAACAGGTTCAACACCTGATTGAATGACAGCTACTGCTGCTTTTCCAGGACCCACTGAAGTCCATGCAACAACTTCAAATCTATAATGTGTCATTGCTTGTAAATGTTCAATTTTAGCTGAGAGAATATCAGATGTAAAGTTTTCTACTCGTAAAGAATCTGGCACATCTTTGATCATATATTTTAACTGATAAAGAGTAAGAAGTCCATTGACCTCTAGCGGAGGACTCCATTTAACAGTAAGTGAACGATCACTTATATTCTCGAATTGCAAATTTTCTACTTCCTCAGGTACATCTTCGCGTGTATGAATTTGAACAGGAGAACTTCTTTCACCATCGCCTGGATCAGTGAAGCATAATACAGTTATATTGTATAAGGTGTATTTCTTTAAACCGGTCATAATGGCACTTTGTTCTGCAAGAGGATCAAATAAACTAGGTGGCACGGTCATCGATTTGTACTCATTCGCTTCTGTAAAATTATGGCCGACCCAAGCTTGTAATTTATACCCTTGATTTATTCCATTGATTTTTTGCGGGTTCGGCGGTTTCCACCAAACTTTTATTGCTGTTGAATTAATGGCTTTTGCCTTTATGTTAGTTGGTGGAGCTTCAGGTACTCCCTCCTTAGTTTTAATCTTCAAACCTTCTGTGAAAACGCCAACACCTTTATCATTGTACGCTGCTATTTGCACAATATAGTCTTTCCATGTAATTAGGTCGGTAATAAGATAATTTTTTTGTGCTTCATTAGTAATATTTTGTATTGTCCAAGGATTGTCGTTGTAACCATACAATCTATATCTTAACACATAGCCTAAAATATGGCCGTTTCGATACTCTTCTAATGGAAGCTGCCACTGTGTGATTATTTCTGATGATGATCGAGCGGAACCAACGAATCCTACTGGTGGCCCACTCGGCGCTACAGTAAAATTCATTAATTTAATTAAATTTTGGCAAATTATTAAGCATCGAACATTAAATTTTATATTCTTCTAACTATCACTTACGTTCTTGAGGAAGAACTACTACATTACTAGGATCCGAAGGAGGTCCTTCACCAACGCTATTTTCTGCAGTTACTCGAAATTGATATGCAGCAGCAGCTTTTAAATTGTTCAATACTACCCAACGACTTTGTGCCGAAACATTATTGCATTCAGTGATCCAATTTAACGCAGAATCAGGTATTGGTCCTACATAAATTAAAATATGAATATATACGAGCTGAGATTTACGTGGAAGCTTAGGATTTTATTAATGTATAGTTTATATTTATTTACCTAAATCTGAAACCTCTCGTCTTTGAACGATGAACTTTTTTGTTGGACTATTTCCATCAAAACCTGGAACCCAACTAACGTTTATGGTGCGGGGAGAAATTCGCTCAACTCTATTGGCCATTACATTTATTGGTGCAAACGGCAATTCGATTACGCTAAGACGTGCAGATCGAGTCTCGTTTCCTCCTGGAGAGACCACGGAACACATATATTCACCCACATCGGAAGCACGAACAGCCATTATTTCTAATGTACCATCGCTTTGCATTTTTACTCTTTGACTGGCTTGCGTATTTATTACTCTACAGAAGCAACAAATATATTATAATTATTAGTATTTATTTCTACAATAAAATGATTAATTATGTAATATGTTTTACGTAACATGAATTATCCAACGTGCATTATAAATAACAGAGATGAAATTTTTATAAAAAAAAGAATAAATATAACGAATTTTTCCTTTCACTGATTAAGTATGTTGCATCTAAAGAAAAATCAAAAGTGAAAGTCGGATACTACTATTACTTTTTTATAATTATATATTCTAATGTAAGTATCTTGACTTTAAATGTATTAATACGTACTGTGAATTGTGAAACCATGCTATATCATATAAAACACTTGGATCATTGGAGACCTTGCATTGTAATTCCGCAGTATAGCCAAGAAGAACAGATGTATCAACAGGTGGTTGAACAATTTGTGTTCGAACTGAAACGAACCCGATTTTTATATAAAAAAAAAAAGGAAGATGTATATAAATCATTTAAAGTATATTTTACCTAAAACAGTAAGATAAGCTGAATCATTTACAGAACCAGCTTCGTTTGCTCGAATACATGTATATTTTCCGGCGTCGTTTGGTTTTACAGCAGCAATTAAAAGATCTCCGTTATCTAAAACTTGTACTCTTCCAGCGATTTCCACAAGCATTGTATCTATTGATAAATTAAAGTTATTTGTCAAATTTGCATATAATATGTCTAATACTAATTATTTGTATTATAAATTATTATTTATCTGACTGAGTAGTTAGTGTACCATTGTAAATCCATGTAGTGTTAGGTATTGGAGCTGCTACAGCATTACATGTTAGTGTTACATCTTTCCCATCTAATATAGTCTGATTTTGTGGACCATTTTCCATGATAGGTCCTGATGCTGAAAACAATAATTTAAATGTATTAGTATTTTGCGTATGAGCAATAGGAATTGGATACATGCACGCAAAAAAGGCAGAAACAATCTATCACAAAAAATAAACTTTCCCCATTCAGTGCTTTCCAGTGTATCATTTACTGATATTTTTCTAGGAAATATATTAAACTGATTAAGAAATATGAAATAATTTAACGCGAGGAAAAGAATAATTTTCATACAATGGAAAACGCTGAATTTAACCATATCTGATTTAAATTTATAATGATACTCTATTACTGTAATTTTATTTTTACTAAAAGTTAAATTACATATACTCTATAGCGTAACTACGAAAGTAACTAGTTTCCAAAATTTTTGTCTTATAAATATTTTCCTAATCTAGGAACGTGCTATTCACGATATATCTGATATCTGCTTACTGTATCGAAAATACGTGCATAGATTAAAAGTTTATTTAAATTTTCAAACACTGGTAAAAATATATTAACTTTGTTGTAAGCAATAAGGAATACTATAACATAATGTATTACGAACAATATCTTTTGTTTGTACTAGTATTAATGTTACTACACATATATTTATTCATTGAATATGCCATTTTAATTTTTTTTATTTTTTCAAAGGACGTGTTTTACACACAAAAAGACTATCGTGCTTTGCTGATGTATTCACTATACTACCAGAAAAAAGAAAACATGGATACAGATGGTAAAAGCAAACATTGTGATGTGATATGCATTCGTCAAGCAAGTGCCCGGAGTAATTTCAAAAAAAGGTGGATATTTCGTGGCGACTTGTCATTAGAATCTTACTGTCTGGATACTGAGAGAACTTAAAACGTCGATCAGATTGGCGAACTCTGACTACATTGTAGCCAGCTGCCCAGCGGGCAACTCTGTTTTTCAGACTGCTTTCTAATCCTTCTGCCCCACAAAAAACACGTCATTTATGATAAGTATAAACAAATATCGTTTAAATGATAAAACAAAAGAAAAAAGTGAAGAATAATTATAATACATTGCATGATTTAGTATAACTCCACCGGATTATATACTAACTTTTTGCTTTCAGCCAGGTATAACTGGATGCTTCGCCAGCCTCGTTGGAAGCGAGACACTGGAACATTCCTGAATCACTCATGGTTAACTTTTTAATCGTCAAGGAGCCATCTTCTTCCATTGCATATCTACAAACGAACGTAGAAAGTTACAAGAAGCATTTTGAATTTGGTGAACACAATCTCCATCCAGATAGTTCAAACACAAATCAATGGAGTTCAATTAAAGTAATTTACATTTGTGAGTTTTGTATATTCTTTATTTTATTCCAAGAATAAGATATATTTTTTATTATCGTTTGAGGAAATAAAGAATATAGAAACATTTGTAAATAATTGCTCTGTTTCCTAACTTTTGTCATCAGGTGTATATACGAAGACGATGTTACCTTGGTAGTTGATTGAAAATACAGATTTTAACTTGCTTTACACGGAGCATACCTAGATCCGAGAAGATGATCGACAGGTTCGGCATTTCGGAACCACGTGATTTTAGGAGGAGGTACACCAACAGCATCGCATGGTAATGTCACAGTTGATCCATAATCACTAAGAGTCTCTCGTTTCAATTCCGTTATAAACGTTGGCTTCTCTGGAAAGTCATAACGTAAGTACAATGAACCATCAATCAGTCACATCGTTTTCAAATATAAAAACTCATAAAATCAACTTAATATCCAAAAGTTTAAATTTTTCAGACACTTTTCCTTTCAATAATTTTGTTCATTCGATACACATTTTATTTTTATAATTTTATATATCGTCTAATAATCGTCAGTTTCGAGATCCTCGTGGTATCATAGCAATTGACGAATGCTTACCGTATACAGTAATTTTCGCGCTCGCGTTCACTATGGGGAATCCACCGCTTCTTAAGTCCACGTGGCACGAGTACACTCCAGTGTAAGTTATGTTTGCCGATATCAACGCCAAAGTTCTATTCCACGAGTCGTTAAAACTGTACGTTATCCTCGAGTTCTCGATGGGGATCCCGTCTTTCGTCCACAAAGTTCGTAATTCATGAAGAGACCTAGAATTACCCGAATATATCTCAAACGTCCCTCTGAAAATACCTCAAACGCGAATTTCAGTTAATCTTCCGAACTTCCAAGCTTTCCATGTTTCATTCAAATCTGCTACGATTAGACAATTAGATAGTTAGAAGATGTTACGCTTAGGCGATCAGGCAAGAAAATGAAATGAAATTAGAAATCTGGAAGATTTCATAGAATGATCCTAGAGATCTCTGTTCCTAACTGAGGGAAGAAATGCACGTGGGTTGGATAGGTACACGAGGAAAAGAGAACCAAGGATCTAGGCGATGTTCGTGAAATTACCTAGCATTAGCTATGCAGTGTATATAAGTAACGTCCTGGTCCTTGATGATCTGCGTGTCCTGTGGTTTCACTATGATACTGGGTGCCACCTCAGCGTTGGCATCTCCCGTGACTTGCAGTTTGAAAAACGGGCTGTTCTCCTCCTTACCCAACTGCGTGTTAATGGCTCTGGCCCTGTTCAAATGATCAATTATCATTAAACTACAAAAGGACCCCTGTTAAATTGCATCTAAAATCTTAGTCCTTTCATTGATCGCGTTGCAAAATATCCGATTTACGAATCCGTCAGAACGAAACGGATAAAAAAGGATTTTACAGGAATAAAAGAACTATGGAGGTCCAGAATTTTAAACGGCAATATCTCCGAAGCAAAGTAAAAATACGCGATACGCGGAATTTCTTCCGAAGTCACGGATTTATCCAGACAGGTGACTTCAGAGAATTTCATGGAGAAATACCAAGCGCGCGAGATTTCAGTGATAAATCGTAAAGGAACACCAAGGACGCTCGGTGAATCCAGTTCCAAGGTCCGAGAATCGATGGCCACAGCAAGCAGAGGCTGAAGTTGGCAAAAATCCGGACACCTGTGCGACCAAGTAGCCTGTCCACTCGATACCAACCTGTACAGGCCTTGATCAGCCTCGGACGCGTTCAGGATAAGCAGCGTGTGATGGACAGACGCGTATTTTATGCCGTACAACGAGCCATCGGACGTGAACCATGTAACGTCAGGTGCAGGATGACTCTCTATCGGTGGCAGCGTTAAAACAGCGGCGCTGCCCGATTTCACGCTCACTATTCTCTCTGTGAGGTCCTCGAACACCCCCATATCTGGACAGGATGATATTACGGTGTTACTTTTCGTCACGGTGTGCGAGCTGACCGCGATGAAATACGCTGCTCGCGATAATCAGAGCATCGTGTCCTGGACGGTGATGCAGAGGAGAACGCGGATGGATATCGAATGTTGGAGCAATAAAACGTGGCGCGTTTAATTTACAGTCGGCCATGCGTCGTTCGGCTTCGAAATTGCACGTTTTTCGTTTCCCGTGTTTCCGGGTTTCATTACTTGCCGAGAATAGAGGCGCGAATGAAGGCCTCCGGGATTTAGTGGTTGATTTTTAGACGAGGAGAGAGTTAGGCTTTCCAGGTCGGCTCGGATCGGTGTCTTATAAGTTTGTTGTTTATGTGCGACGTAAAGTCTGGGAGTTTTATTCTTAATTGGTATCGTTAGATCATGGACGACTGTGACGGTTCGTGCTGGACTCGGGACTGGTTATTTGCAGCCGACTCTTTCAGGGAACATCGTAAATCTAGCGAACAGCTCGGGTGTCTTTAATGGAACTCGGCATGATTTGTGGGGATTACATAAAAGGCAAAATCGCGCGACGATAATTGCATTTAACGCGAGATTAATTTAAATCGAATCGTTAAATCGAAATTGAAAGATAAAAATTTATCTTTGTCCTGTACATTATCTCGGTTGCATTATTAATGCTACCAGTTTTTCTCGGTCTAATTTTACCTTTTGCGACGAGCCATGAATAAATAAACGAGCGAGAAGATAATCGATTGAAATATTCAGGAATTCGTGCGTTGGTTAAAGGGAAAAGAAAAAACCGAGGGAAACAAGATGGTAGAAATTGTGGTAGGTATAAAAGTTTCAGCATGGAAGATTAAAAGACGATAATAGAACAAATCAGTTAAATGACCGGATGTCGCGTATCACTGAGGCCTTTTAAAATTAATCTTGTTAATCGAGCAGATTTATTTATGCACAGGTTACAGCGATATTTTCCAGCATCGAATAAATTATTCGACGACGAGTTTCCCGGAGCTGGCGAATTCTCTGACTATTTCGAGCAGCGTATTAGACGCTAATTAGGCGCTAACCATACGCGAGTCTGACATATTTAATTTGTACGTACAGGCTACTGCAAATGTAATTCTTTCGCTAAATATAGACCCTACGTCGTTTGTGGCGACACAGTGATATACTCCTGCGTCTTCCCTACGTGTACTTTGTATTCGAAAATAAGGCTCCGAAGTAAGCTCGTTGCTGAGGGGTACTCCATCCTTGAACCATTTGTACTTTGGCTGGGGATTTCCTGTGAACAAAACACGAACGCAAACCATTAATCCCGAGCTTCAGCCCACCTTTCGTCAAACTGAAAATGAATCCTTCTTATGGAGGCACTGTGTTTCGCCTAACGAGTTTCTTGCACCGTTTAAGGAAACGAGAAAACGATTTTTAGCTTATTAGTGCCTCTGTTCTATCTTAGAGCCGTGTATTTTATTATTGATATTTATTATTGATGGATAAAAACATCTCTGCTTAATTAAATGTCATTAGAAGAGTGGAAATAAAAGGATATTTTATGAAATATCGAATGGTATTGATTTCTTGGTATAAAATTAATTAGAGAATTGGAAAAGGTTTCTACATTTTGCAATTTTGTCACGACTATACAGCTATTAGAGTGGTTTCAAATTTTAGTATTTTTGTCGAATTAGATTACGGGATTTTTAGGAGGCGTTAATTATGTCTTAAATCCGAGGTGTTAATTTTGTTCACGAATACTACGAGTATTTTCTCATTTGCTCATGGAATATATGCAACATACAGCGACCTAATACTATTAGTACAGGGTCATACTATCATGTTACAGCACCAGGCTGTAACTATAAGGCTTCATCTGGCCACCGTCTCATCCGGCTGTTACCCGATATTTCATGAGAACAATGGGATATTAAAAAGACGCTGGAAATTTTGGCAATGTAGATAAAATTGGGATTCGAGGTATGAAAAATGCATTAAAACACAAAAATTTATCGTGACTTGCGATAATCGCATAACCTACTGTTATTAAAACTGTTATCAAATAAAACAGGAAGGGAAAGGAGTCTCATTCTAATTTTATTTTCTATAAGAAATAAAATTTGATTAAATATCGTTAAGAGAGATGGAGAGAAATTTTGTTGCTATTTAAAGTAAATTTAAGGTAGGAACTTAAAATTTCGGGTGAAAGATTCTCGAATCGACTCGGCTCCAAAAGGGATGTTATATCGTGGTAAAATGGAGGAGAGTTCTTAACAAATTCGAAATCATCGCTTCCGGGTCATTCTCTCGAGTACCTGTGCTACGTTTCCTACTTACCTCTCGCTTGACACTGCAGAAATTTCGTTCGATTTTCGCTAAGAATATTGCCGCTGCTGGAAGGCTGAGTGGTGAAGCGCGGTTCCTGGAGGGTCTCTGCAAAGAGATCGAAAAAAATGAATTCCAATATGTGGTTCAATTACGCTGTTATTAGCTAGAAGATTGATTTTATGATTTATGTCAGCGTTTCTCAACCTTTTTGCCTGGCGACTCGCCTTAAGACTAGTCAGATCTTTGCGGAACACCATAATTGTTAGAAAGAAAATTTTGATTTACTGGAACACTTTAATTTCACTTTTATTTACTTGGATACCTTAATTTCATTATTATTTACTTGAATTTTGATTTATTTAGCTTCGTCATATCAATCTTTATCGATTATTTTATTGTTAAATCATATTCCTCAAGATATTGAATATTTTTTAATCATTTTAATGAAATTCTCGCGGTTGAAAAACATTGATTTTATATGTAACTATAATTTCTTTGCTTTCAAATTTCGACAAACATTTTTAGGAAAAGAGGAAAAGAAGCTTAGTTTCTGTAAGCTTGTTTGGTTAATTAACGTTTGGGTAATTTCAATATTAGGTATAAAAGAGTTGACGAAGTTCAATAACTGATTATTAATTAAGATGTAAAGTATTTAATGAGTTTAGTATTAATTACTTTCGAAAATCTGGGTATACGAGTGTTTGATCAGCGAAGTCTGCGAAATCATTGAAATCAGCGAAAAATCAATTTTCAAAAAAAATTTAAATATTAGTGTTTTTAGCCTGTTCTTTAGATCTCTTTTAGGCTTAGGAGTTCTTTGATGTATAAAAAGTCTGTAAAATTCGAAAAAGCCGAAAAATAGCTCCCAAATATGTTTCCAAAGTCTGCGAAACCGGTTCGAAGATCACTCAAATTGGACTGCGAAAATATCCATTTATTTTATTCCAATTTCTCAGATTTTTGGCAGGGGAGTTACTTGACGAATAAAGGACGTAAAACAGCAAAAAAAAAAACGCATGTTAAATTGGGATAATGATCTTTTAAAGAATCTCGTGCTTCGTATGACTCTGACGTCGAAAAAATTGGAGAAAGAGTCATAAACTCGTTACAAACTGAGTGAAGGAGTGGCTTCTAAAGTACTCGACAAATAGGCTTTGCAATTGAGGAAGACGAACGGAACTCCATGAACCAGTTCTGAATGTTACGTCAAAATCTTAATTTTAATCTCTTATATCTTATCCACCTGGAAAAAAGATAATTCTATTCCCAAATGGAAAGATTATCGTGTACTTTTTTTAATTTTCTTGCATTGCAACTTGGAAATTAAAAATAAATATTATGTACGTGGATAGTATATAATACATCATAGTAACGATGAGGAATATTTTGTGATAAAAATACAAACCTAAAAAATAATATTATTTTTTATGGCAGAATACAGTATACAAATAAGGAAGTCAGAAAATCATGCATTCTTTTCTTTAGCTGATAATTTTTTCGTCCAACATGTGCTGTAACGAGACATCGGGAAATTACCAGAAAGAATTTGGAATTAACGCCAGGAATGCACATAATTTGAAGAACCTAAATACAATGACGACGAATCATGCTTGAAGTTACTGGAATTATAAAGATACCGGATTGCATACATTGTTACTTTCTACGTTGGAAGCAAGGAAAGAAAAATGAAACATCTGTTTGTATCCCTACACCAATTAATAGCGGAATAAAACTCCCTATGATTTGGTTGAAAACCTCACTATATATAACTGCAACAAAATAATTTTTTAAATTGTTCAGGGTAGCTAAATATCGAATCTTCCTGCAACTACGAGTTCTAATATAATCGATATACCATAATTTGTAATTTTATTGAAGATATTTTATTAAAAGAAGGTATCATGTTTAGGGGAATTCCAAAAGTTCATTATTTTGACCAATTAAAAATCCCAAGATTTCCTAATCAATTTTTTAGCTACTCTTTCTAATTAAACTTTCTAATTAATCTAATTAAACACCAACCATCCAACAAAATTATTTATTTTAATTTATTCGAAAAAAAGATACAATATTCAGGAGAACCTCTTCATCAATAAAAATTCCATTATTCTTCAATTATAGAAAAATAAATACCGAATGTTTCTGTAATCACACGTTCCAGTGTAACTTCGCTGTAACCATCGATCAAACTGTTCACCTAATTAAAGAAAGAAAGAGGAAAAGAAGAAATATTCAAGGAATCCCTGAAGGCCCGTGCTCTTTCCTTATCTCGAGGACTTTTTTCGTCCAATTTACCAGGTCTGCTCGCTACAAGGAAAGTTTGGGCGACAATTAAGGAAAGAAAGGAACGTACACGGGACAATTAACGAAACAAAGAGGAAGATCGAGGGAAACACGTCGGACATTGCGGTGGATTCGTCGGTTAGCCGATGAGAAAGTGCAACGCGTTCGCCCCCATCTGAAAAATCATCGGACCGTGTCAGAAAAGAGGGTGCACGTGTCGGTTTACGTTCATGTGACTCGGCTCTACGGCATCCGGCTGTTCGCATTCTTTCCTCTCCTCTTCATCCTTTTGGTACACCGTAAATTACGCGCGCCTAAACCTGATGACTCAGTGGTTGTTGCACGGAATTCGGTGCATAACGCACGTAAGCACTATAAACTATAACTTTATGAACCCTTTTCCGTTCATTCGCGCTGCATCGGAATCCAATGGTTCCGTTTATTCCTGTAATCGTTCCTGAATTCGTCTGCGTGTCCGCCATTTGTGTATTCGTCCATTTTGCGACTGCACGTGAAGATAAAAATTCAACTATAAATTATAATTTCTGGTTGTATCGCTTTTCGATGCTTTCAAATAGGAATTGTATAGTTACTTGAACCTGTTACTGTTGGTATTAAGTATTATCACTAGAACTACTAGTCAACTACAACACTAGTCAAAATGACTGTTTTCAGGCTTTTTATTTTTGCAGTTATCAAAATTGGTAATTGTTTCTGGCAAAATTACTGACTTTTATTTAAATAAAAATCTTCGATTATTATTATTCATGTATAATATATCTATGTACACTTTACAGGTCGATAGTTATGGTATCAAGTAATGGTGCGTGGGGAAAAATGGTGGTTATACAGATTTCCTTTATATTTTAATATTTATCTTCTTTTATGTTTTCTTATTAATTCTATTTATAAATTTAAAGGATATGAAATAGGATTTAGTTATGCGTATTCCTTTCGCTGTATTCGAATGTAAAATGGCGGTAATTTTTGGGCGATCATCAAGGGACAATATTAAGAAGTAATGCAACATTTGAAGATTCATTTGAACGAAATTTTCCTTACATAGATATGACGTTAAGTACAGACTACATATTACTAGAAATTACTAGAGATTACTAGAGATTACTAGAGATCACTGTTACTTGCATATTTTTCTGGTGTATATTATAATTACCTCAAAATATGACATATCATTTGAAACTAATAATGCAAACTCACATTCTCATGGTGTCGATCGATAAGAAAATCATCGATCAATGAAATCACGTATATCTGATATCGGTTTTTAAGTGTTAATATCAAGACTCGAAGACAACAAATGCCATCGAATAAAATTTTCTATCGAATTTATTTACTCCTAGATCGTCGATATATTACCAAAAGTCGATCAAGTTAGGGCGTTCACGGTCAATGACTGGCAAATAAAATCGCGAATTACAGGTGGTCGCTAACGCGGTTAAGCTTCATTAAAAACTGATTCGAGGATTAACGCGCTAATAGAGCATAATTGGAGTAGACCGTGAGATGATTATTTCCGAGGAAAGTCTCAGCTGTACAAACGACCGAGAACACTTTACGACAACGATGTGTTCTCGAGACTTTTGGCGTCGAGTGGATAACGTTTTTAATCTCGCGAGAGGGCTGCATGGAAAATAAACAGTTTCACTGGAGTAAACGGATTGTGTTTTGCCTTTCTGAGAGGATTATCTTGATCTCGGTTTCGAGAGGTTTATTCGAGTTTCGGGCTGTAACATCGAGAGACATTGAATAAAAGGCTGAAGGAATAAAATGTTACCAAATTACTAAAGAAATTACTAGAAACTGAGAAACATGATTTAAAAATTTTTATAGATCCTAACAAAATTCTTAGTTCTTTTTCTAAAGATAACTGAAATTGGTACGAATTATCGAAAATATTATAAATTATCAAACAATTACCGAAAACAGAAATTACTAAAATGTTACCAAAAATACTAGAAATTACTAAAAATAATATTACAAATATTAAAAATTACCAAAAAATTACCGAAAATATTGAAAATGATTAAAGAATTTCCAAAGAAATTAAAAATTACTAAAAAATTACTGAAAAATTACCGAAAATGTTGAAAATTATTAAAGAATTTCCCAAAATATTAAAAGTTACTAAAAAATTACTGAAAAATTACCAACAGCGTTTATTTATCACCAGAATTTCTATATCGCAAAAATTGACTACTAATTTATTAATATGCTTCTTAAAAAAGTTCCACCAAAAAGTATTGCACCAAATTTTTCCCACACAATGCAGAAAGCAAATTCATTCAACGGACGATAAATAAAATAGATATTCTCCGAAAAACGAGAAATCGTTGTCGATTCAATTTGAGAAACTGCATTCTTCGATACGCTCGAAAGAAACCAATCTCAGTTGCGGTGAAAGAAGCTGTCTTCGCGTTAAATAAGATTCACAGAGAGTAACGAGGTACGCTGATCGGTGGTTCGATAAATTATAACGACCACTGAAACAATAATCGATGGTCGTCTCGATGATAATTTCCCTAAGCACGCAGTCTCACGGGTTTGTTGAAAGAGGAAAGCCGGAAAGGCGGGAAGAAAAATAACCGACCATTATTTTTCAAGTACCAGCTTAGACTGTCATGCTTGGCTGACAGTTTCTATTTTCACGAGCGTGTAATCAGTCGCGTTGGCTGCAACGATGAATTACGTCACGATAAATACACTTTCCTTCGGAAAAGGCACACAATTTCTCGCGGTTTAACCACTTCGTTGCACGAACGCGATAGCGATATCTTTGATTTTTTCTCGTGCCAATATCCCAC